CCACAGCTTAGTTTCCCCTTTGTTCCAGGCCCTGTAAGTGGCCTCGCCCAGCGCGTGTTCCTTCGGGCCGGTCCTTTCGCTCGCTGGGCCTGTCCCTGGAGTCACCTGCGTTGCCGTATGTCTCGGGCTCTTCCTTTCACTGCTGCGGCGCCTTCCACCGGCTGGACGTACCACAGTCTGCTCGTCTGGTCTTCTGTGGGTGGACATTTGGGTCGTTTCCAGTTTTTTTCTGTTATGGATAAAGCCATTATGGGCAGCTTTGGTTTTGTGTGGCTGTGTGTTTTCGTGTAGAAAGACCTAGGAGTGAGATTTCTGGGCCATCCGGGAAGTGTCTGGTTAATGTAATAAAAACTGCGAGACTGTGCTCCCCGGTGCTTGGCTTTTTTCTCTCCAGTCAGTGGCGGGCGAGCATCCGGGTGTTTGCTGGGGGTGGGCAAACCAGTGGAAACAAGTGGAAAATTTACTTAGAATCATAGACGGACAGAGCTTGGAGGAGGGGCCTCTGCTGACCTCTGGTGTAGGAAGAGAAACTGAGGCTCAGGTCACACGGTGCGTGAGGGGCAGAAGCAGGAGCTAATGCTCCCGATTTCCAAGCTCCAACTGCTCCCTGGTGAGAACGCATCGGTACTGAGTCTCATTTCCCTGGAGGAGGCCTAATGCCAAGCCCTTCCCTACCTCAGGGCCTTTGCACTTGCTGTTTCCTTGGCCCAGGAAGCTCTTCCTCCTGCTCCTTGAGAAGTTCCTCTTATCCTGCAGGTGTTAGTTAAGACATCTCTCTAGAGAGGACATCCTTGGCCACAATTGCTGAAATAGCTGCCTGAGCGCCTGCCCGCTTCCCCCGTCTCAACTTTTTAATCCCCCTGATAGCATTTTGCAGTGTTGGGTAACCTTCTCAGCTGGCTTGTGTTTTGTCTGTCTCCTCTGCAAGGAGGGCCCCGAGGCAGAGGCAGGGGCTGTCTTGTTCCCCTGCAGGAGCTGGTGCAGAGCAAAATAGTCAGTGTATCCCCTCCCTGTGCCTCCGTTTCCCCATCTGTAACATGGGCAGGTGGGACTAGAGTTGTTCAGCCGGTGGAGGAAATTTATTGAGCAACTACTATGTTGCAGGCACTGGTGCTAGGGATACTTGACAGAAAAGGCCCCGATTCTGGACCCGAGAAGTGGATGGTGTGGAGACTCATGTAAATAGGACACTACAGCCCCATATGCTCAGCGCTCTAAGTGGGGAGCCTGGGGCGTAGGAACATAGAGGAGGCTGCTGATCTCCTTCCCCAGAGGCTGCGGTTCAGGGAGGGCTACCTGGAGGTGGTGATGACTGAGCCGAGGGATGTGGAGGGAGGTGGTCAGGTGAGGGGAGGAGCTTGGAGGATGATCCTTCAGGCAGAGGAACAGCCTGAGCAGAGATGTGGCAGCACCTCTCTGGGCTTGGCAGGTGGGGACTAGCTGAGAAATAAGTGAGCATCTCTAGTTGACAGGTGGGGAAACTGAGGCCCAGGGAGGTTCACAGCACACCCAGAGCTCTGGCCTGCGTGGATGAGGCCCACTCTGCCTCCTTGGAGCAGCCAGCGGGAGGCTGCTGCACTGGTGTCCTTCTGCAGGCCAGGCCTGTGGCCCGCAGCCCCGGCCTCTCTGGCCACATGAAAGAATTGGGCTATTTTTTCCCAGAGCGCAGGCCCCAGTGGCCCCAGGAGCTGTGTAATTAGAAGGGGCTCTGAGCCCACAAGAAGCTGGAGCTGGGGACTGTGGTGGGCCAGGCGGCCCGCCTCGGGCCCAACTGGGGAGACCCTGGCAGAGACTTGAGGAGGGTGGGTTTTGCCTGGCCCTTCCTGCCTCCTGGGCCGTGGCTGTTCCGCAGGGCGGGGGTCATGGCTGCTAATTGCATGGTAGGCCCAGGGTGAGGCCTCTGAATGGCTTCAAGGCCGGGCAGAGGGCCCGTTGCTCTCTGCCTCCGAAATTACAGGTTGCAAGCGAGTGGCCAGGCCTGCTGCCTGCCACAGGCCTGCCTGTGCCTCCTTGGGGACCTGGCAGTGCAGGTCGTGGAGATCGCCCTGAAACAGGTCCTGGAATTAGGGAATGTGAGACCCTCGGGAAGGCCAAGGAGTGGCTGAAGCAAAATCTCAGAGCTTTATGTTGTCAAAATGTGGGAATTCAAGAGTGGAGGTCAGAGTGGTCATTCACACAGCAACAAGCACTTATTGAGCACCTACTATGTTCCAGGCACCGTCTTAGATGCTGGAGTGAAGGCAGTGCACAAAATAGGCAAAGTTTCTGGTCCCTGCAGAGCTGGTTCATCTCCTCTCACTCAATAATAATCTTCAGAAACTACTCTAAAGCTGCTGGGTTCCCGTCTACCTCAGGGCCTTTGCACGTGCTGTTCTCACTGCTGGGAATCCTCTCGCACCCTTGGCTTCCTAAATATCTCCTCCTCGTCTTCAAGAGCAACTCTGCTATCACTTCTTCATGGAGGCCTCCATGACCTTTGGGACCAGACTAGCCCCCCCCACGCTAGCCTGCCATAGCCCCTGAGCTCTCATTCCAACTCTTAGCCAAGTTTGCGGTTAGATATTCACTTGTTGGTTTACATTACTGCAGGTCTCACCTCTACTTTGCAAACTCTGCCTTTGTTCATCACTGTCTCCCAGGGTGTGACACCGAATGTCACAGTGTTGGAAACAGTGCTGGCAGGCTGTGGCAGACATGTAGTCCGACCCCATATTTAGCTGCAGCCCAGAGAGGGGCAGGGATTTCCAGCCACCCACAGTTGATGTGTGAGCTGGGGCTGGAACTTCTGGATCCTTTTTTCCCTCCCATCAGTGGCTGATATTTTGCTGTTCTGACCTCAGATTGTGGGTTGGGATTGTGGGTTGGCTGAAGGTGAGCGTGTGTGTCTTTGTGTGCGGGTGTGTATGTTGACATGGTCCGATAGCCCTTTAATTGGGCAGCTGGAGGCAGTGAAGAAGGGGCTCTGACCCTCAACATGCTGTTGCTTCTCGGTAGGTCACGCTGCCGTGAGCCTTAGTTTCTTCACCTGTCAAATGGGCTTCGGTTATCCCTTCACCGCTCCCCAAGCACTTATGGAGCCTGAGCAGTGGGAGGCCCTATGGGAGGAGGAACCCAGCGCTTTGGAGGGCAGGTGATTCCAGTTCTCCGGGGAACAAGCACAATATTCAACCTCGATGTGGGAGACAGAATAATGCCCGTTCCCCAGAGATGTCCACATCCCAGTCCCTGGAACCTGTATGAATATGTCACCTCACATGGCAAAAGGGAGTCGCAGGTGTGACTGAACTGAGGTCTTAGATGGGGAGATTACCCTGGATTATCTGGGTGGGCCCAGTGTCATCACCAGGGTCCTTTAAAGTGGAAGAGGGATTGGAAGAGAGACCCAGAGAGATGGTGGGGTGACAGGCAGCCGCTGTGAAGATGGAAGAAGAGGCCTGTGAGCCGAGGAATGCAGGTGGTTTCTAGAAGCTTCAAAAGGCAAAGAAACAGACCGTGCCCCCTGAAGATGCCAGGATGGAGGAAGCCCTGCCGACACCTTGAGTTGAGCCCAGGGAGACCCATCACCGACTCCTAGCTGCCAGAACTGTAGGAAAAGAAATGTGTGTTGTCTGAAGCCACTAAGCGCGTGGGCATTAGTTACAGCAGCAACGGGAAGCTCATACACTCGGGCCCTGGCCAATGCTTCCATACTGCCCGGCACGCTCACGCCCTCCACCGCCCTCCTCAGAGGCTCCATGTGGGGCCGGGTGTGGTGGAGGCAGGATCTGAACCCCGACCTGACTGCCTCTGGGTCCTGGGCTCCTTGTGGGGGCTGCTCTGTGCACAGAATGGACCCTGTCTTAGGCTGGATGAAGGACATTCTGAGAAGTTCACCTGGCTCCTGCTAACTCCCCAGCCCTCATTACCCGCTCCCTCCTTCTGTCCAGGTCACCCTCCAGCCACTCGGCCTTTATCCATGCTGGTCCTCCACCTGGAGTGCCTCGCAGGTCACACTCGACTTCTCTTTGCCCTGGGGTCCCCGAGCCCTTGGCCTGGCCTCTCTACTACCACAAACCCATTTCTGTTTCTAAAAAAGTAATTCGTGTATGTGCCCTTCTCCCTGGAAGTCTTCGAGCTCCTTGAGGGCTGGGCTGTGTCTGGTTCACCTCTGAGACCTGCTTGGCACAGCACCTGGTGCACTGTAGGAGTTTATTAAGAACATCTAGAACGTTCATTTGCTGAATGAATGAGTCATGAATGAATGAGGGGCCACTGACCACTGGATTCCTCAGGTCAGCCAGAGGTGCTGGTTCCAGGACTACTACTGACCTATTGCAGTCCCCTGGTTGAGCCACTTGGACTCACCCTGCCTCACTTTCTCCATCTGTGAAATAGGGCCACAGCTCCTGCTCCAGCCACACCATTTGGGGTAGTGTGAGGCCATTAGAATGTCTGAGCCAGAGGGAGCCCAGAAAGCGTCCCACCCACCCCTGCAAGTGGGGAAACTGAGGCCTGGAGGAGGCAAGGGCCGGACCAGGGCCAGACAGCGAGTGCTCAAAACTTGTTCCCTGGCCCAGCCGGGACCGTCCATCAGGCCTCAGCTCATGCTCTGTCTTACACCCGGACTCCCACTCTGCACCCCGACCCTTGGAAAACCTGAGTCACAACTGGAACCAAGGACTGGGAATTTCCCCCTCACTTCCAGGGGCCTCTGAGCCTCCTGATCCCTTCTTCTGAAGGGGCAAGACCCCAGGCTGCTGTTTTGGGGGAGGCACTGTGGGCCGCCTGCCTGTCTGTGCGCCCCAGCCCGCCTTGGGGACCGTGGTCGGGGAGGAAGTGCCCCATCTGGGCTTCTCCGGAGGGTGGAGGGGCGCCCGCGGGAGTGTGAGAGGGGGGGATGTGTGTGGCCCGGCGCAGCCCCACCCCTCCCCTTGTCCCCACCCCAAACCCTAATGAAATCAAGCTGGCCCCGCAGCCAGGAGGGAGGGCGCAGGGGCGGGAGGAGGGCGGGGCGGCCAGCCCGGAGCAGCGGGCACTGCCACCGACTCTCTCTCGCTCCACCTGGCGGAGCCCCGGCCTGCGTGCGGAGGGACCGGTGAGTCCTGGGGTCCCCTCCTCTGTCCGGGGAGCCTAGGGGTGTTTATGAGTTTAGGGACTGGGGGCCAGCAGGAGCGCTTTAGGGGGCGTCTCTAAGTGCGGGTGAGTTTTGAGGGTGGGCTGGGTGCTGTGTAGTGTGTGATGTGTGCTGAGGGTGAGGGAGCAGAGTGTGTGTGGCCTCCTGTGCCCCTGTGTGCCATGTTGTGTGTGTGCCATGTGGCCTTGCTCAGGGGGATGTGCTCTTGAAAGTGGGAGCCACAGGGGTTGCTCCCAGGATCAGCAGGAAGGTGATGTGGACTGGGACTGTCCCGTCTGGGGGGGGATCCATGGTGTGACAGGGGGTTGTGGATGTGCATGTGTTGTTGGAGAATCAGCTCGTGTGTCCGTGGGGACCGTGTATGTTGTCTGTGGATCTGTGCCGGTGGGCCGTGTGATCTGTTGTGTGTCTGTATATGTATTGTGTGTCCAGGCTGCTGCTGTTCTTTGTGTGTGTATGTGTGTGTGTGTGTGTATTGTGAGCCTTCGGGACCCCCGTCCCTCCCCAGGTCTCCCCTCCAAGGGGCCCAGGTCCCTGTCCTCGGCTGCCCCAGAGCAGGGGCTACAGGCTTCAGCCAGACCCCCTCCCCCAAAGGCCACTAATTGAAGCCAGGTTTTTGTGGGCCGCTCTTCCCCTCTGGCTACCAGTCTCCGGGTGGGGGTGGAGCAGCTGCTGTGGCCCCTCGGCCTCGGGTCTTGGGGTACCTGGGTCTTAGGGGTGGATTTTGCATCATTGGCATCTCCCTGACCTCAGCTGGGGCCATCACATTTTAAAACAGTAAACTCTGAGAGTGACGGACTCTAAAGAAAGGCCCTGGTCCAAGCTGGGGGTCCTGGCTCATCATGTGGGCCCACTAATGACACCCACTGTGCCCCAGGCACTGCTGTTTCTTATCCTGACAGTAGTCCAGGGAGGTGGCCCTTATCCCCACTATGCAGATGTGGAAACCGAGGCCCGGAGATGAAGCGCTGGACACACAGCTGGAAAGCGGCCTCCTGCGGGGTATTCTGAGTGTCCTCGAAGTTCAGGGCTCCACTCCCACAGGCTGTGCAACCCTGAGAAGCCTAATCCCAGTTTCAGCCCAGTTTCCTCTGGGTAAAATGAAAGGGTTGGCCTGACCCCAGCTCTTAATGGCCTGCCTGTGAGTTCCTGAGTCCTGGAAAAAAATAGGACCCAGGAACAAGGTAGGGCAACTGATGGGCTACAACCATTTCACTGCCCAAGCCAGTGAGCCCATTCTACAGATGGGAAACTGAGGCCCAGAAAGGGCAGGGGGCTCATCATGTAGGGTCACAGTCATCTCCTGTGAGGCCAGGCCAGCGCCCACACGTTGCCTGCACATTTCCTGGGGAGCCAAGAGGGGTTGTGGGGTGTGGGGCCTCTTGAGAGTCGGGGTCTCGGCCTTTGTGAGCCAGAGATTGTTTGCGTGGCCTCTCTGTTTATCCTTTGTCCCTCACCCGAAACTTCAGGGGAGGGAGCACTTTCCTCTGTCCAGCTTTCTGCTGTGCACGTGCACATGTGTTTGTGCGTGTGCATGCGTGTGTGTGTGTGTGTGCGTGCACATGTGTGTATGTTCCTAGACCCCTCGGTGATCAGACTTGAGATTTCACACAATGAGGTGAAACAGTTGGCCTGCCCTGCAGGTGGGGGAGATACTGAGCAAATGCACACATCACGTGAGGATAATCATGTATTGACATCGGTGGGAAAATGTTGGCTGACCCTGGAGCTCTGCTGGGGTAGCAATTCGGCCGCTCCCGAATGCCACCTTTCCTCTGTGAGTGGCTACTCCGTGCCAGGCAGGACCTGTGGTCACCTCCCCAGCACGCCCCCAATTTACAGATGGGGAAAGCGAGGCCCAGAAGGGCGGAGATGGAGCCAGGATTCGAATCCTGGCCTAACCGGCCTCCCCCCTTTGCCGCCTACAGACCTGTAGTGAGGGAATCCCACAGTCGGACCCCTGGGAAAAACCCCTGGTCTCCAGCCACCGCTGGTCATGGTGAAAAGCTTCAGCTGCCACCATGAAAGGTCCCTTCTGGGGCTTGACTGGAGGTAGAGGCAGGGTGGGGACTGGTGAGACAAAGACCCCAAGATCAGAGCTGTCTGTAGGAATCTTTGCCAACAATTGTCAGAGAGAGGAGGGCAGGGAAGGCTCCTGAAGTTCATGTAGCATATTAAATCTTTCTTCCAGTGACAGGTGACATCAACCAGGGGATGTGAGGCCAGCCCTGGACACGAGATGATAGATGAGAGATGATTGATAGATAGATGATAGATAGATAGATAGATAGATAGATAGATAGATAGATAGATAGATAGATAGATAGATAGATGATAGATAGATAGATAGAACGAACTCTTGGAGGAACACAGAAGAATTTTCCCACTCTGACACCTAACCATCTGTGTGTCCTTGGGCAAATCCCTGTCCATCAGTTTCCTCGTCTGAAAACGGAGACAGCGATAGCGCCAGCGCCCAGGGCTTCTGCAGGGTTGCAGGGCTCTGGCGAACGGCCTGCGGGGAAGGTGCAATGACCAGCTCATCAACAATGACCCCTGAGCAGTGCTGCCTCTTTTATGTCCTGGAACTAGCTGTTGTTGTTGCCGTCTCAGCCAGTTTGTCCAAATTCGTGTCAGTACAGTTTATTTCAACCAATGACACTTTAATTGGGAGGCCCCAGGTCACTTGGAATAAGACACTCAATGGCCTGCTGTCATTCCTACTCATTTCCTGAGTTCCCAAAGTCACCATGAGGTCGGTACATCACCAGTCTAAGAGGCAGGGTTTTGGGCCCAGGCACTCAAGGGGACCTGCAGTCAGGGTGTTGGAAACCTGACTCCCTTCTCGAGCCTAGGACTTTCCTGTGTGGCTCTGGGCCTGCCCCTTGCCCTCTCTGGGCCTCTGTCTCCCCACCTCAGTTCCCTGAGAGAGGGCCTCAGACAGGGGATCCTAAGGCTTTTCCCAATGTCAGGGTCCTGTGCCCTCCACTGGGTCAGGCTGGGGTTCTCAGGGGACCTACTGCCCCCAGGTCCTGCTTTGAGCCTCGAGGTGCAGGTCAGTCAAGGGGAAGATGCTCCCAGCATGCTCCTGGCGTGCAGGCCCTCTCCTGAGGTCAGAAAGTGTGCAGCCTTCAAAACCTATGAATCTTCCAAGAAGGGAAGGGGGCCACAGAGGCCCTAGGGGCTGCTGGGGAGTGAGTTACTCAGTTTCTCACTCAGTCCTGCCATCTTCAAACCCCTGCTCTTCCTTGGCAAGTCACTGAACCCCTCTGAGCCTCAGTTTCCATACCTGGAAAATGGGGTAATAAGAGGACCTCTCCCATCGGGTGGTTCTCAAGATTCAAGGAGAAATTCCATGAAAAAAAACCTTAAAATAGAATCTGGCACATGGCAAACAGTAAAGGGGTAAATTATTATTATTAATTCAGTCGAGTTGGTCGAGATACTTTATGGGGCACTTACTGTATACCAGATATGGTGCAAAACCCCGAGGGTGCCGAGATAAGTAAGATTCAGCCCCTGCCCTCTAGGACCCCAGAGTGGAGTTGGGGGACATATGAAGGAATGGGGTCCAGTGTACGGTGGGGAGGCTCAGGCCTGGGGAAGGGAAGCAGCTGCTAGAATAGGTTGCGTGTTTCCTGTACCCCCTGGGGGTCCCCTGAGACCCTGGAGCCCCCACCCTGACCTCTCTGCGGCCTCGATTCCCCCTAGGTCCCAGGCAGCATGGTTTCTGCCGTGGCCCCCAGCCTCATCGTGGCTTTGCTGCTGCTCCTGAGGGCCCTGACCGCGGTGGCCCACTCCGTGCCCATGCAGGTCGCCTTCCTGGAGGACATGGGGGGCAGTGGGGAGGCTGATGACTCCTCAGCCTCCTCCCCGAGCCTCCCGCCGCCCCGGACCCCGGCCCTCAGCCTCACGTCGGTGGGGCCCCAGCCCACGCCCCTGGCGGGCCCCCAGCCCCCCACCAACCTCCTGGACGGCCTCGTGGACTTCTTCCGCCAGCACGCGATGCTCATCGCCGTGGTGGGCTCCCTGGTCCTCCTGACCATGTTCATCGTCTGCGCCGCCCTCATCACCCGCCAGAAGCACAAGGCCTCGGCCTACTACCCCTCGTCCTTCCCCAAGAAGAAGTACGTGGACCAGAGTGACCGGGCCGGGGGCCCCCACGCCTTCTGCGAGGTCCCCGACAGGGATCCCGAGGGCCGGCCCGAGGAGGCCCTGGACTCCTCCCAGCAGCTCCAGGCTGACATCCTCGCCGCCACCCAGAACCTCAAGTCCCCCACCAGGGCGGCCCCGTGCGCCGGGGACGGAGCCGGGGGGACGGAGGAAGAGGAGGCGGGTGGCCCTGAGGAGGACCGCGAAGCCCAGGGCTGTGGGGGCCCGGTGGAGAAGCCAGCGGTGCCGGAGGAAACATGCTCGGTGGTGGCAGAGGGAGCCGTGGGGGCCCGTGAAGGCCCAGGGGAGCCAGAAGCGGCCCCTTCATTAGCCCATGAAGCTGGGGACCCAGCTGGCCACCCCGAAAGCCCCTGTGCTTGTGGCAGTGTCACCCCTAGTGTCTAACAGGCCCCCAGGGCTGTGGCCCTGACTGTCGGACCCCTAGTGGTCCCCTCCTTGGGCGTAGCAAGGCCCATAATGCTCCTGATGTCCCCTCCTTGGCCACCCCCAGCTGCAAATCCTAGCGTGTCCCGATCCTACAGCGAACAGAGACACTGGTCCCCTGTCCACCCCGGGACCCCGGGAACCTCACCAAGTTCTAGGACATTTGCCCCTGCAGCCCTGAAGGGCGACATCCCAAAGCACAGCTCCTGGGGGGTGGGGCTGGGGATGTGTCCCTCTTACAGCCAAGTCAATTCGGAAACACGCTTCGCAGGTCCCTCGTGACAGTGCCAGCGTCTCTGCTTTTCATCGAGGTAGAAAAGTAAAACTTTAACTAGGAGTTCTGGAAGACTTTAAATGGGAGATATGGATGCGCCTGGGGCTGGGGCAGAAGTGGGCCTGGTTAATCTGGAAGCTTCTGTGAGGGGCCCCTGCTCGCCTCACGATAGGTACGAAAAATGAGCATTTCGCAAACTGGGTTCCCTGAGGCACCCTGCGGAGAAAAGATTTTAGAGTCCAATGAAAGAGGAAACGCTGCCTCTCTACTCCCCGAACCCCCCCTTAGAGTACCCCAGGGCTCTGACAAGTCCTGCAGTCAAGGACCCGTGGAATCTGGTTTCACTTAGCCTTTTCCAAGTTGCTTTTGACCGGGGAGTACTTTTTCATTTTTTTTTAGCAGCTACAGTGTAAAATGCTCAGAGCACACTCTGGAAATTACTGCTTTCAATGCTCCCGAAGGTGCCCCGCAGTGTCTGGTTGGTCTGGGGTGCAGGGCGTGAGGACTCAGCCTGCTGCTGCTGTGGGGAGGGGGCGAATGGATTAAATCTTTTCTGTCAGGCTCCCAAGCAGCCTAGAAGTGGGGGGCTGTGTGTGCAGAGACCACGCTGGGGGGAGCCTGAGGGTGTGGGGGAGGGTTTCTGACGCTTAGCCTGGAGCAGGGGGGCCCTTGTCCCCAACCCTCTGCCCACACACAGCCTTCTCTAGTCCTCAACGAGGGAGCAGTCCTGATTTGGGGAGGCCCTGGGGCATCCTCTTCGCTGTCCCTCTGCCTGGGGCCCCCCAACCTCTGTGTGACTCTCCAGGTGCTGAGCTGTAACGAACCAGCACAATAAACCTTTATTCCCGCTGAGTCTCCATGCTTTTCTGCGGGGGCTGGGGGGACAACCCCACGAGTCCCCTGGGAGATGGGGGGCATTTCCCCTGGGCCGTTCCATGGGGGTGGGGCATCTCTCTGGGGGAGATGCGTCATCCAGGCCCTAGGGGCTGGAAAGGGAGGACAGATGGGTGTCCCAGGGGAATGGGGGTGGTAGCTTGTGCCCCCAAGGCTGAGCACCGGCCCTGACTTGTGGCCACAAGCCAGGCTCCATGGGTGCCTCTGCTCCTTACTGTGGCCACAGGGGAGCCACCCACCTCTCTGCTTCTCCGGGGAGACATGGGCAGTGGAGGGGCTCCCAGGCCCCTGCAGAGTGGCCGAGGGTGAGATGGGTGCCCCGGACAATGCCACACTCGCCACGAACCCTTGCCGGCGCACCCTTGCTGGCGCCTGGGGTTGAAGGCAGCTCTGCCTTTGTCTCGGGGCCACCAGGCTCCTCCTTGCCTTTGATGGCAAGTTCCTGCGGCCACTGCTCCCCCTCTGCCCTGGAGCTGCCAGCTGGAATCCAGATGTGGCTGGGCTGGGAGCATGTGCTGGATCCTCGAGGTGATGGGGGCAGGGAGGCCATCCGCCTGCTGCCCCTCTCCTCCTCCGACCCCACATCCATCCGGAGGGGGCCCGGGTTTGGGTTTCATAACACACAATGGCCTCTGTCTGGCTCAGTGGGGAAGGGCCCTCCCTTTCTCAGCCCAGACCAGCTCCCGCCCAAGAACTTAGGGAGAACTGAATACAAACACTGAGTCCGGATGCTGTGTGGCTCGGACCATCACTCAACCTCTCTGGGTGTGACCAACTCTCTGCTTGTCCCTGAGCTCCTGCTGGGGTGTGGCTGGGAAGTGCATTAAGCTTCCCCAAGACAGGCAACAACCAAGTAAGACAGGAACAGGCACCTGAGATCCCTGGGGAGTAGGTGGGGGTGAATTTCCCAATCAGTGGCTCCCCATTAATGCTCAACCGGGCCCTCCAGAGGAGTCTCCTTAGCCATAGCCTGTGTCCCCTGCAACTGGTGGGGGGATTAAGCAAGTGGCCTGAGCTCCAGTGTAGGAGTCAACCTCCCCCTCACCTCTGAGCATGTACAGCTACTGTTCCCTCTGCCTATAACACCCTTCCACCCCCTCCTTGCCTTGTTAACTCCCTCTCATTCTCTAGCTTCTGGCCTAGACGTCTCCTCCTCCTGGGAGCCTTCCCTGACCAGCCTCTCTTCCACAGTCCCCTGGGCTCAATGATGATAATGATTGCTCACAATTAATGAGCACCTGGTATGTGCCGGGCACTGCTCTAAGCACTGGATGTCATTAACTCATTGAGACTCACAACCCTATGAGGTGGGCACTATTATTATTTCCATGTCACAGACAAGAAAACTGAGGCCCAGAGAGGGGAAGTCAGTTGCCCAGGTCACAGGGCCAGGATTCCAGCCCCGCAGTCTGATTCCTGAGTCTGAGTTCTCTGCTGGGCTCTACTGCTTTTTTGATAAACGAATGAGTGAATGAATGAACGAATGAAGCCTGGTAGGGGTCTCCACCTGCACAATGGGGTGACCTGGGAGCTTTTAAAAATCTGGACTCCGGGACCCCACCCAGGCCAATTAAATCCGAGTGTCTGAGGGTGCGGCCGAGCAACTGTCACCACCAAGTTGTGAAGTCCGTGAGGAGAGGGGCCTGGGCTCTGTGCACCACTGTCTCCCCAGTACTCAGCACAGTGCCTGGCACACAGTAGGTGCTCCACGTATGCGCGTCCATGCAGGTGTGTAAGGCTGAGGGAGGCATTGTACCAGCCCACCGTGACCCCATTTAACCCCTCTACATTCTTACCACAGCCTGTGGTCTCAAGGCCCTGCCCCTCTCCCGATAGCGGGGTGGGGGACATGAGTTTGTGTCCACTGCATTTCGTCATGAGTCCCACTTCTTTGTTTTGACCCTGCCTGGCCCCCTGGGGTGCTGACAGTGACAGCCTGGCACCGTGGGTCTGGCCTATTTCTCTTTCACAGAGGCTGGGAATCCTTGAGTCCGCCATGCTTGGGATTCATTAATCCCGGGGTTCCCAGGTGGCCCAGGAGCAAGTAGCAGGGCCATAGACCTTTTGTTTTCCAACCACAACTATTTAACAAGCACCTACTATGTGCCGGGTATTGGGGACACACCGTTAGCAAAACAGATCTGAAGCTATATTCTGGTCACAGTGCTTTCTGTCACTGTGACTCATTTTTATTTTCTGGAATTTTATATAAATGGAACCAGACAGTGTGTATTCTTTTGATCTGGCTTCTTGCACTCAGCGTATATTTTGAGACTTATTTATGTTATTGCATGTATCAATATTTCACTCCTTTTTACTGCTGAGTAATATTACCTTGTATGGCTGTATTACAATTTGTTTGTCGGTTCACCCACTGATGGACATTTGGGCGGCTTCCAGTTTTGGGCTCTTACAAATGAACCTGCTATGAACTATGGATGCTATGTTATTTCTCCCTCCCAACCTTGTTAATGAGATGGTCATTATTTCTCCCCATTTTACAGATGAGAAAAACAGAGAACCAGAGAGGTCAAGTAACTTGTCCAAGGTCACACAACCAGTAGTTGGAACATAGAACCTTAAACAGTGGCAATGTTTCAGTTAAGTGGCTTAAGGGGACCCCTACAGTTCAGAGGGTCTCAGAACCCCTGATCGAGACCAGCCCCTCAACTTATAGCAGGCATCTGAGGACCAGACAAGAGCTGGGGCCTGTCCAGAGAATCGGGGTCCCTGGTGGGCAGGCTGGCGCTGTGTCCATCTCTGCTCTGCGTCACCCTGGCTCTTCACCTGGTGTGGGGGAAGGACCCGGCCTGTCTGGAGCGGGACAGGGATTTGCCCTTTTTTCAGGAGGTTTTCATTTCAGGATTCCTCCGCTTCCTCCGGCTGCTCAGAAATAGCAGGAAGGATTTGGCACTGGCTCCAGGGCCCGAGAGGTTTCCCCACAGCTGCTCCCCGCTCCCCAGGCCCGTCCAGGGTTTATAGAAGCAGCTGCAGAGTATTAAATAGCCCCGCTCATAAGTCTGCTCTTGCCAGGGTCCCCGATGCCAGAGGCTACTGCGGTGCCCAGCACAGCATCCCCCGCCCGCTGGAAGGCCGGAGGGCCCAGGTCTCGGGTGGCCGCCTGGGGCACCTCCCTTAGGGTTTGGGGAGCTGGACTCAGCAGGAGGGTCTGGAGGGGAAAAAGGAGAAACTAGGATAATAAAGGGGTCAGTGATTGGGGACAGCAAGGGGAGGAGGTAGTGGGACATGGAAATAAGGAACCGGGAGGCCCAGGTAGGCCCCTCCTAGCTGTGGGTCTTGGGGCAAGTCAGCTCACCTCTTTGAGCTATGGGTCCCTTCTTTGTCAAGCTGGGACCACAGCCCTTGCCTTGTCCCCTCAATCCCCCTAGGATGCTGAGAGGTTACTGGATGCAAATGTACTTTACAATGTGCAGGGCAGTGCAGCGTGGTGGTTAGAGGTGCAGGCTTCAGAGGACCTGGGCTGGAATCCTAACCCTGCCATTTTCCAGCTGTGTGATCTTGGGCAAGTCACTCCACCTCTTTGGGCCTCAGTTTCCTCACCTGTGAAATGGGACTAATGGTGATACCTATCTTGGAGGGTTGGTGGAAGCAGAGTTTGTTCACTTGGAGTGCTTAGGGCTGTCCTCCCACAAGTGCTCCATGAACGTGAGCTTCTGTTAGCTGTAAACTATGAAGTGCTGTGCACAAAGAAGAGAAAAGGAGGAAACTTCTGTCTAAATGTCTGGCTGTTCTGTAAGTTGCCTCTTCTTTCCGGGTCTAAGTTTAGAAGCTTCAGAACCATAAGATCAGTGATCCTCAGATGCTTGAAAATTAAGGCAGAGGGTCCTAGAAGCATTGGCGAAGCCAGAGCAGTGCCAGCAGCCGGGAAGTCCTGTGAACTTCGGGGAGGGCTGAAGGACGTGGCCAGAGAAGAGAGACAGGCTAACGCTGCCCTTCAGGCGATGTAAAGGCCCCGCTGCAGGGATTTGGCGCCCAGAGGGAGCCAGGGGTCCTGACGCAGCTGTTCCCTGTCTCCCTCTGGGGGGGGGTGACCCCAGCCAGGGCTTAGCCGTTGTCTGGGCTAGCATAGCTGGACACCTGGCTGGCAGCAGGGGTTGGGGGGGCCAGGGACTTGGGCCCACGGGGACAGGTGCCAGGACTACTTCTAAGAGGCTGGAAAGGCAGAGGGACCCCGTGGGGTTAGTTGCCAGGTGACCTAGAATGGTCCTCTCCTCTCTCTGTTGTGTTCCCATCTAGAAAACAAACCGAATTCTTATCAGTCCCAACTCCGGCAGCGTGAAACGCCTCCCGGCACAGCGGAGGGAGGACGTGAGGCGTCTGTATCCGGAAAGACTGGTGTTCAAATCCCAGAGTCTGAACCCCAGGCCCAGCCCTGGCTGGTGTGGCTCAGTCGGTTGGGTGTCGCCCCATGCAGGCGGCTGGTTCAGTTCTCAGTCAGGGCACATGCCTGGGTTTGGGGCTCAGTCTCCCTCTCCCTCCTCTCTCTCTAAAAATCAATAAAGTGATTTTTTTAAAATCTCCCACAGCCAGGCTGTGTGACCTGCGCGGGGCTCTCACCCTCCGGGGTGTTGGTCCCCACAGCCACGGCCCCACGCTGCCCGCAGCCCACCCACTCGTGCATGAATGAGTGACAGCACCCGCGCCCGAGCGCAGGATGGGGGCGGGAGGCGGGCCGAGGCCAGTGCGCCCAGACTTCCACGTGGCCCCAGCCAAGCTGGCTCAGGCGTCTCCACAGCTGCGTGCCCCGTGCGTGGTCTGCCAGGCGGAAGGGCAGTGGGGACGCTCTGACCACAGCCCGCCAGTGTGGGGCCAGGCTTGTCCCGTCACACCCAGGGCATGTGCACAGCCGGCCGAGGCGGCATCTCGGGCTGCTCCCCCAGCACAACGTCCTTTCCCGGTCACCAGGACCCCACGGGCGGCCGGAGGACATGTGGCCA